AAGTGCATAGCTAAGCTTATTTAGTTAAGTAGATAGATATTTTAAAAGTGTTAAAACGAAACTAATAAGTTGCACTAATTCAAAAGCGATTTTCAATACTTTCTCTATCAGATAAAATAATGCCACTAGTGAATAGTGATTAGACTAAACGAATTGCGAAGAAAAAAAAGAAGAGCAAGTTGTTACCAAGTTCTGTTTAAGTCGGTATGAATTACTATACGTATGATATAGGAATAATTGATGTTGATATTTGGACAAGATTTATATATATATATATATATATATATATATGTCTTCTTGCCCACAAAAATAGTACTCTTGTCTTGTGCGTTTCAACCGTCAATTTCATCAACTTTACAACTACCACAAATAAGCAAATTCCAACTTCATCTACCAAGTTCTAATTCGATTGAGTGCTCTCTTGTATTATTGTGTCTATATTTTTTTTTAATTCACCTAGTACTCATCGATAGGATCTTAAGAGTATACAAAAAGTGATTGATCAAGATATATATATATATATATATACACGGTTGTAATATATGGACCTATATATATATTAAGGATTAATTATTTAAATAGATTTTTTAAAAAAAATAATTACCTATTTTATTTATACTTTTTGATTATTGTCATTTATAGTAATATGTAAAAATACTATATATTTTACTAAATAAAAATTTCTCTCTCGCCTCTTTCTTCTTTTACTATCTCGCTTCTTGTTCTTTCTCTGTCTCAATCTTTCTCCTTTCTTTCCTTTTTCATGTTCTTTCTCCGCCTCGTACTTTTACTTTTTTTTCTTTCTTTTTCAACTTACTTTTGTATAATAATCAATAATTCTACTGAATAAAACTTGTATTAATAATTAATTAGACAAGTAATTTAATCGTAACAAATAAAGAGACATAATAAACTACAAATTAAAATGAATTAAACTTCAATTTATAATGTATTACACATATATTAAAGTTGAATTAGAATAGAGTAGCAAATGAAAGAGCTTTTTTTTTTAAATCTATAAAGTGACTAAAACTTGTATAAAAAATGAGTTAGACCAGTAATTTAATTTTAACAAATCAACCAATAAAATTGTAAAATGAATTAAACTTGTATTTAAAAGTGTGTTATACAAATATTAAAGTTCAGCTAGAAGAGAGAATTAAACTTGAACAAAAAACGTAACTAATAATAGACCAGACAATGATCTATAAAAATGAACTAAACATGTATAGTAATGAATTAAATGCAAGTAATCTAATCGTAACAAATGAAGAGACATAGTGAACTTCCAAATGAATTAAACTTGAATTAAAAATATATTACACACGTATTAAAGTTGAATTAGAAGCGAATTAAACATGAATTCAAAATGTAGCAAACGAAAGAGCATTATGTGATTTGTAAATTGAATAAAACTTGTGTCAATAATAAATTAAACAAGTAATTCAATCATAACAAATCAAACGAATAAAGTGCAAAGTGAATTAGCTTGTATTAAAAGTGCATTACACAAATATAAAAGTTGAATTAGAAAAGAGAAATAAGCATGAATAAAAAATGTAACTAATGAAACACTAGACAATAATTTATAGAGTGAATTAAACTTGTATCAATAATGAATTAAACAACTAATTTAATAGCAACAAATAATAAACTACAACATGAATTAAATTTGCGTTAAAAGTGTATCACATAATATTAAAGTTGAATTAGAAGAAAAAATTAACAATAAATGAAAAATGTAACTAACGAAAGACAAGAAAATAGTCTATAGATTGAATTAAACTAATATTATTCATGAATAAAATATGTATTATATGTGTCTTATAAATTATTTTGGTTTGTATCTAAAGAGCATGAGTAATGTTTTTGCCAATGTTATAAATGTATTGCAAGGGTGTTACTTAAATTACTTTAGTTGATATCACTAAAAAGGAGTAAAAGTTTGTAATATGTATTATAAATATATCTTTCATGATTTTAATACAATTATGAAACATGCCTAATATATATGATTGTATTAGATATGTTTCTATGTTTCTATAATTTTAAAGATTTGAAATTTCTATTTGTGAACATGATATTATAATTTTTTTGATTTTTCTATCCTCTTCTCATGTTGTTTTTGAATAAAATTAGTGCAATACGGACAAAAACTAATCTAAAAACAGTTATTTAAATGATTTTTTTTTAAAAAAAAGAAGAAGAATTAAAAAAAGAGGAAGAGAAAAAATACACAAAAAGAGACGATGAAGAAGAAGAAAAATAAATAAAAGAGACGAAGGGAGATAAAACATACAATTTTCTTAATTCTAAAAAATTGTTATATTTTAATTAGAAAAGTTATGTTGATATAGATGGTAAATATTTTTATAATATAGCATATTTATGTGATTTACCCTTATATTAATATGTATTATTAGGAGCAGATCTATTGTATCATATTTAAATTTTTGAAACCTAATAACTTTTATTTATGTTGACTTTGTACATAATTGAGAAATTTATTAAATAAATATTGAAAATTCAATAGCGTGTATATATATATATATATATATATATATATATATATATATTATTATA